GAATCGGTAGGAACAAACGAACATTACATTTTTATTTATATAGATAGATAGAAGATGATCTGCTTTAGTTCATTTTCACAGAAAAGCATAATGCCTCATAGAAAAGCAAACTTAGGGCGTCGTACTCATAGCGCCATCTGTTGGACATAAAAGCCTTAACCTAGATTATATCTTTTACTTTATATGAATGTTTAACGTAATAATATATAGCCTATGTCCACCCTGAAGTTCCATTCTAAATATTGGTGAAAGAATTTTTGAAATCGGATGAGTAGTTTCGGAGATTACCTGCTGCATACATACTTACTTACAAACATTACCTCTATAATATTAGTATAGATATTTAATATTTAATGGAAAAATATGATTGAATGACATTTCTATTCTGTTTCATTAATTGTATCATCAAATGAAATATATTAACTGGTTCTTTAATTTTTGGTCATCTTTTAAAGATGATAAAATAATGTAGTAAAAATATATTTAGTTAACAATCTTATTAGCTTATAAAAAATAATATATTTAATGTTTTTAAAATAAATATTTATTTATAATAAAAATGGATAGGACATTTAGAACAGTATATGAACTAGAAAGTTTCATGTTTTATTTTTAAATTTTTAAATAGACAATTCTTCTGGACAATAAAAATTTGCTTTCAATGTGGAAAAACATTTTAAATGTTATAACAGAAAAAAGTATAGATATTGTGAAGATTCAAGAATTAATTAAGTATTATTTATTATTAATTTTAGAATTTAATGATATTATTAATTCAATTCTAAAAATATTTGAAATAATTAGCAACATAGACCAAAAACATGTTTATATTCCAATGAATTAATTTATTTCATTATTTTATCAAAGAAAAACTATCTGTATACTTTGGATAACAGATATAATCAAGTCTTCATACATCAATTATTGATAATGGTAAATCCCTCCATAATGAAAACAAATATAGTTCTCTATGCAATTTGTATTATCTTAATGTCAAAACTTCTTCCAACTTAATGATATTCTCTACTGTGATAAACTTCTGTTTAGTGATACATTTTTTTTACTCTACTTATAAAATATATAGTATTTTCCTTTCTCTACAATGATGACAATGTAGTAAATTAAATTTTAATTCATTTGAACTTACTTCTCACAGGGTTTTGAAATCAAAAATCTGGTACTCTCTTAATATTGATTTTACTATAAACACTACCCACAGTCAATAGGCATCAGTACTGATGAGGTTTGCTAGGCTGAGCATGTTTTTGATATTTTAGCACCCAATTTTTTGTTCAGCACTCAAAATTAATTATCAATTTTTGCTTTAACTGAAAAATGTTTTCAGCAAAATTTTTTAAATTTGAAGTTAAAAAAGTTAATTCTAGTGTCTACCAACTTACTTATAGAATGCATATCCAAATTTTTTAATATATTTATATATAGTCTTAATTTGTACAAATCTTTGCATATTTTTCTCATAGATACTATCAATAAAATATTGAACTATATATTTTTTTTAACTGAAATATAATTTTTACTTTCAATTATTATTATTCATAAGTTATTTATTTATTTAGAGAACAGCAGGGAAAAATATTAACAGGAAATGCCAAACTGAATGAGTTAAAAAATAGATCCATTAGAAAAGAATTAGAAAAAAATGAATATTTTAACTTGACCCGAAAACAAATTTTATCCAAACTTGCAAATAAAGAAAGAAATAAAGAAAAGCATAACACTGAATTGCAAAATATAATGGCTGATAGTACAATAGTACAAAAAACAATTTGTGAATTGGAGAAACAAGTAGATCTTTGCAATGGTGTAAGTTTTAACTATAAATGGCTCTTGCATTTCAGAGATTGTGCATGTTCATAAAAACATATATGAAAATCAGAATGAATACAAATCAAATGAACAAAATTAAAATATGCATTATTATAAAAATATTTTAAAATAAATTTTAGATGTTTATCATCCTGAATGTGCATCCTTATTATCAAAAATGTTCAGATAATATATAATGTCTATTATTAAATTCACTGTTACCAAGAAACAAATGTGAGATTTTATGCATCTAAAAAAATGCAATACAATAAACTATATTTTAAAATGTGATCCAAGCAATTCAGTATGAGTTATCTTATTATGATGATCTAATCATAAGCTGATTCCAGATGGCATAGGTTCATATTGCATTATGGTTCCAAAGATCAATATATTTCAATTCAATTTTTTATTGAATGAACCTTAGTTCGTTACAAGGGGGTTAAATTATTACAAAAAACTGAAGTTAGAACAATTTAACAAATCAATATAATAGCTTAGTATTACACAATAAAACACAACAATAATCATTTTTATACACATTATGTAAATTTGAAATTAGTAAAATTTAACAAATTAATTAAATAGCTTAGTACAGGATAACACAAAATAAAATATACTAAAATAATCATTTTTTGAAAAATGTGATAAATTACTTATATCTCTCCAGGTATAAATCCTGTCAAATACTTTTTCCTATTTGTTTCAAATTTGATGCAGGTGAAAGAACACATGTTTCCAAACTACAGTTTCTGCAAATTGTCTTAGGGTCTATTATTAGTATAGTGTTATATGTCATAATATAATTTTGGCCGCATCTCGGCTGTAGAATTAATCATTTTAGATGATAATTTATGTCCATAGACAAATAATCCTCACACATATAAGTTGTTTTAAAAATATGATATAATTGAAAATGCTTGTTCTTTTCCAATAAAGACCAATCTTCTTGTATGCTCTGTTCACAACACACTTTTATAATTAATGTTTGATAACTTTCAATCAAATGAGGAAATGAGAAACCGTGTCAATCTAACAGATTTTTCAATGCCAGTGTCCAGTTACATGTGTAATTAGCCATCATTAAACATAATTTATACAGTTTGTTATACAGTACTTTAACATAACTGTTATCTTGTACTTTTAACAGTCTAATCCAAAAAGAAACTATCGCTTTTATTATTAATACCAATATTCTAGAAACACCAAACTCCAATTGCAATATATAAGCTGGAATTTTATGGTATAACAAAAAAATTCTTCGAAGATATAAGGCAAGAACAATTTTTATTTTATCTTGATAAGTAATTGCCCATACAGGAGCAGCATAAAGTAGTACAGATGAAATAATTGAATGAAATAATTTTATATAAATATGAACAGAATTTAAGCTTTTAATTTAATTTAATATGAACAGAATTTAAGCTTTAATTTTAGCTTTTGAAAGAATAGGCCACATAGAACCCAGTGCCATTTTAGCCTTATGAATACTATAATTTTCAGCCTGTAAAAACTATCCAGAAGACAAAAATAATACTCCCAGGTATGTGTAATTTGAAATGACTTGTATGGGCTGATTATTAAAAGACCATCTCTCTCTGGGTGATAGTCTATCATCCTTCTTGAACACCATCACTTTTGTTTTTGAAACATTTATAGTTAATCCATAGTCATGACAGAATTCCTCTAAAATTGTGATTTTCTTTTGTAACATTTGCGGAGTATCAGCAAGAATTACAGTGTCATCAGAATACATTAGTATGTGTAAATCAACTTGATCAGAGAGAGAAATCCCAGGTAGGTCAGATTTAGCAAGTCACACTATCAAACCATTAATGTATAAATTAAAAAGCAGTGGGCTCAGAATCTCACCCTGCAAAACTCCAATGTCAATATCAAATGAATCAGTTGTTTCGGCTAAAATCTTTACTCTTGCAGTGGCTTTGGAGTTTATGTCAATTATAAGGCCAAGAAAACTGTTTATTCATACCCATTCTTTCTAATAGAGACCATAAAACTTTATGATTAATGGTATCAAAACCAGATTGAAAGTCTACAAAAACAGTTTTCCTCTCTTTTTCTGCAATTTTAATTGTACCAATGCATTTAATACATTAAATATTTGATCCTGACATGATTGGCTTGGTCAAAAACCTGCTTGCTCCTAACAGAAAATATTATATTTAACAATCTAATCTAATCTTTTATTTAATAAAGACATAAATAGTTTACCAATTACAGGAACCAAAAATATAGCCCGATAATTTTTGGGGTCATACACATCACCTTTCTTTATATATTGGAATAATCAAAGATTCAATCCATTTTTCTGGAGAAGTACAATTTCCTTTAATAGAGTTAAAAACTTCCAATGTTGTAAGAAGAAAATTTTCTGAAAAACACTTTAAATATTCAGTTCTAATAAAATCAATTCCAGGTGAGGTACCAGATTTAAAACAGTAGATCAATATATTTAGAAATATAAATGCAGAAGAAAAAGTAAAGTACAGTAGAGCATCGATTATCCGACCATTCTAGTCAGCAAATTTCAATTGTCCGCTAGTGATGTGGCACTACAATATTTGGCTATGTCTTGGCTACTTTAATATTGTTTTTGTTAAATTTTTACATGTTTTAGCTGACAACACTGGCTCGACCATGAAAGGGAGGCCAGTATTTAAATGAGATTTAATTTTCTAATCATCAGTGGTTGTTTGTTTTTTGAGCAATAAAATAATTTTAAAATATTTTTTAACGATACAATAGCTATGATTATTATTTTTAAAAAAATTTTGTTAGGCTTAACATCGATGAAAATTCAACGTGAAGTATGTTAATAGCGATATACTAATTACATGGGATATACTAATATGCTAATATACTATACTAATAATGTATTTTTTCATTCTTTTTGATTATCCGACCAACCCGAGTCCCCAATTGAGTCAGATAACTGATGCTCTACTGTAGTTCACATTCAGCATTTAAAAAAATATAAAATACATTAACACACCAAAAAATTTATATAAGAGAAAAGTAAATTAATAAGACTTAGCCTGATGATGCCATTTTCAGTTTTTCTAACTAGAGTTAGTTTTACAATGCATGTTTAACACAGTTGAAAATGTTTGCTTTCAAATAAAATTGTGCTGGAGATTGCACAGTTTCATGCACTGTTTAATTGTTTTATTTACATATGAATTATATCTTACATATACATCTTTTCCTACAATAGTTATATTTGCATTGAAATTAAATCAATTTGTAATAGCTCAAGAATAATTTAAAAATTAAATTTGATATTAAAATACAGTAATTAAAATTCATGATTATAAAAAGCAAATCTATGAAATGCATGGGTTATAAAATATGTTATTATTAATTTTATAATATATGATATTTATTTAAACATCTATTTAATAATTTAATTTTTTTATTTAGTTCTACATTATATAGTAAAATAAAAACTCGCAAAAGCAAATTGCTTTTCTGGAGTTTTAGGAAAAAAATCACAAAAACTAAACTCCAGCAAAGCAATTTGTTTTTTGGTATTTTTGAAGAACTTGGAGTTGTTTTTCACATTAATAAAAAAATCTTTTGCATGAATTTTCAAATATTTTAAAATATATTTATAAAAGAATAAATTTTAAATACAACATATACTAAACTATAATGTTAGGTATAGGCATAAGTAAAGAAATGTTACAAATGCCAATTTTCATTTTTTAATCATTGCTGCAAAATAAGAAGCAAAGTTGTGTTAGCTTCAGATATTTCTAACTATATCATTAATTAATATTCTTTTATTTTTTTTTAAATTACCAGTATATTTTTTATTTAACAAATAAATTTAGATTCTCTTGAAAACCAATAATTCATATGACTGAAATCAACATTTATTGGATACTATTATGATTTAAGCTTTTTCTCAGTACNTATAGCCTATGTCCACCCTGAAGTTCCATTCTAAATATTGGTGAAAGAATTTTTGAAATCGGATGAGTAGTTTCGGAGATTACCTGCTGCATACATACTTACTTACAAACATTACCTCTATAATATTAGTATAGATATTTAATATTTAATGGAAAAATATGATTGAATGACATTTCTATTCTGTTTCATTAATTGTATCATCAAATGAAATATATTAACTGGTTCTTTAATTTTTGGTCATCTTTTAAAGATGATAAAATAATGTAGTAAAAAATGTTCTGCTCAACAAGAAGAATTAAGTACTTTGAAAGATCATGTAATCAAAACAAAAACAGAAATTAAGGTACTTTTTTTAGAAAACATCTTGCAATTCCTCTGAAATTTATTACAATTCTAGTTATCAAATTAAAAAGTAGTAATAATATTTTCAAAATGAATTAAACTTTTAATATGTCTAGGATATAAGAATTTATTCAGACTTTTGTATTGGATTTTGGATTTAAAATAATGCANTTTTTTATTTAACAAATAAATTTAGATTCTCTTGAAAACCAATAATTCATATGACTGAAATCAACATTTATTGGATACTATTATGATTTAAGCTTTTTCTCAGTACATTGCTAATTGATAAATTAGCCTAATGAGGATAATTTATGAATTATTAATGCACTGCCATATTTCAAAATCTAGGCCAATGAGATTTTTGTTTTTACTTGGCCAATAATGAATGTAACAATACTCTTTACAGTTTTTAGAAGTTTTAGAATAGCCTTATATTATATATATTGTAATATTGTAGCTGACATGATTTTATAAATTGTGTTTAAACAAGGAGTAGGATAATTTTTTTGGATTTTCTGTATCTGTAAGAAATTTTGGGATCTGTTGATCTTCATTATATTATTATTACTTTTGGAGTTTTTGGAAAAAACATTAAAATCATTGTTTAGTTTTCTTTAAGAATTTATATCATCACATTTCTTGATTAATTTATATATATATGGTTCAGCTTTGAATGAGCTACTTGTATAAAGCAGGAGTATTTAATTCAAAATCAGTTATATATCTTTTTTTAATTATCTTTTAAAAGATTATATTTTGTTGTAAATATAATATATTGATATATGATAATTTGATATAAATTTAATTTTTTATCTAATTTTAGATAATTATATTTATTTAACATAGCAATTATATGTAAAAGACAAGATAAATGCAAATTTAAGAAATCAAGTTCAGATAGCTGCTTCGCAATGTAAAGATATAAAAAAGGAAATCATGACAATATTGGAAGAAACATTTTTCCGAAATAATGTTTTCAAAAGTTTGAATCAAAAATTAACTTCTTTGATGGAACAACTACTTGAACAGGTAATTTATAATTATATATGATTTTCTTAAATTTTAAGATTTAAGTTATGTAATAAATTCTAAATTAGATTAATTATATGGTATTATTCAAATATTTAGTAAATATAAATGAAAACATTATTTAAACAGCTATATAAAAATATGCAAATGAAAAAATACAATGCTTTCAATCTAAGTAAGAAAAAGAAAATTAAATCTAAAACTTGGATCCAAAATTTAGAATACATTGACAGGTAGTTTACGAATGGATTGTTTTCACAAACTTTGAAAATATCAGAGTTTGCTTAGCACTCCTTAGAATTCTCACTATTGTATACATACTGTATATACTCATGAATGTAAAATAAGCATAATTGTCCAGACCATAGTTAAAGCAAAAAAATGAACAAATTAAACAGTGACAAATTTATGTGAACATTTCCAGATAATAAAAATACACAAGACGTAGTCAATTGTACATTAAAAAAGCACAAGTTTATGCAAAATATGCACACTGTAAATTTAGCTGTAGAATGCATTTAACTATTAAAAGCATTTTATAACTGTTTTTCTGTATGATATAATGCCACATTGACATCACATAGATGATTTTATGAAAAAAAAATTATTGGAAGGTTAGAAACAGACCAGTTGCACAGATATCTCTAGGACTCTGAATATGCCACATAGTATATTATCTAGGCTTTGGCTCAGATTTCAAAGAACAGAGATGTTGGACATCAACCAGGAAGTGAACATTCAAGAGTTATCTACACTCAACAGGACCATTATTTTACATTAAATGTTGTTAGTGTAAAATAGTGAGCCACAATGCTAAATGTTCCATTAAGGCATATTGCTATTTTTGGTGGGACTCATCCTCCAGCCAACTGCTTTGGCTGTAGATGATGAGACAAAGGATAACTGGGATCCCTTATATTCCAATGAATTAATTTATTTCATTATTTTATCAAAGAAAAACTATCTGTATACTTTGGATAACAGATATAATCAAGTCTTCATACATCAATTATTGATAATGGTAAATCCCTCCATAATGAAAACAAATATAGTTCTCTATGCAATTTGTATTATCTTAATGTCAAAACTTCTTCCAACTTAATGATATTCTCTACTGTGATAAACTTCTGTTTAGTGATACATTTTTTTTACTCTACTTATAAAATATATAGTATTTTCCTTTCTCTACAATGATGACAATGTAGTAAATTAAATTTTAATTCATTTGAACTTACTTCTCACAGGGTTTTGAAATCAAAAATCTGGTACTCTCTTAATATTGATTTTACTATAAACACTACCCACAGTCAATAGGCATCAGTACTGATGAGGTTTGCTAGGCTGAGCATGTTTTTGATATTTTAGCACCCAATTTTTTGTTCAGCACTCAAAATTAATTATCAATTTTTGCTTTAACTGAAAAATGTTTTCAGCAAAATTTTTTAAATTTGAAGTTAAAAAAGTTAATTCTAGTGTCTACCAACTTACTTATAGAATGCATACCCAAATTTTTTAATATATTTATATATAGTCTTAATTTGTACAAATCTTTGCATATTTTTCTCATAGATACTATCAATANATAATTATTTTTACAAAATTTTTTTCTAGACAAATGTTAAAACTGAAACTGAAAATGAAATGTCAAAACTTCTTTTAGAAGTTCAGAATGTTAATTCTAAGATACATCAACTTCAATTAGTATATAATGAGCAAATTGAAATAATTGATAATGAAAAAAATAAATTAGCTGAAAATGAAAAAGAAATTTGGAAAAATATGAAGCTTTCTTCAACAAAACAAAATCTGATTGCAACTTTAACTAAAAAACTTGAAGACATGATTTCTCTTGCAGGGGTTTGTTGTATAAATTATAATTTAAATTTAATTCTAAAAATATTTTTCACTTTAAATTTTTTTATTAAATTACTGATAAATACAATTATATTTTACAAAATAAATTTTAATTATTTCTGTAAATTCATATACATCAAAAATTCACCAAATTCATATAATTCTATTTAAATTTACAGGGTGTAGAACTTGGACCATTAGAGAGAGAGATTGAAAATTTTAAGCGTGATATATGTATATTAGAGAATAAATATTTAGAAACAGAAAAATTATGGAAAAATCAACAGAATGAAATGATAAATATGAGTGATGAAATTGCAGTGTCTCTCAAAGAATTGAGTTTTGTCAATAAAGAGATTGCTGTTTTAGGAAAGCAAAATGAAAGATTAAATGGTAAATTATAAATTCATTTTTTATTTCAATATAAAGTATATCAATATCTGAATACCATTAAATGTGTGTAAATACTCCAAATAACCATTAAAAGGTGTTTATTTATTTCTATAATGATGATTTTTGCATACAGTGGACCCTGTTTACCCAGATTTCTAGTTTTTTAAATTATAAAACATAATTCCTCTCTAAAAAGTATGAAAGATAGACATATGAAAAACTTATAAATGCAAAACAATCAAAGGACTCCTAAGTATATTCTTACCTGAGTGTAATGTTGCAACTTGCAAGAATACACTTGTTTTCAATGAATCAGCATGATGATGATAATTGTTATGAATTCTGTGAAGGTATTCTTTGAGTTTAATTAATACCTTGTTGAATCTTTTCTACTCTTTTAGGATTTTCAATTATAAAAAAATTGCTTTTCCTATTGAATAAAAATGTTCTCACGACAGTCAATTTGTTAATAAGTTTATTGTTTGTAATCTTGCAAACTATTATTCATTCAGTACCCATAGCTACTATTGTTTCACTGGGTTTCAGTCATCTTCAATCTTTTGTGAAGTAAACACCATTAAAACGATGTCTAAGTGGTTATTATGATGGAGAAGAAATTAGAAGCATTTGGTAGAATTGATAAATGTGAAATTTTGAGGACCATTGCTGAAGAGGTCAGAGTTGAGACTTCTGCTGTGTCAGATTCAAAGAAGAATCAAAGAAATTGAAGAGTTTTGTTGCAAAATGATTTCCAAAAATAGTCTATAAACTTGAGGAACAATAAAGAAGGCAAAATATGCAGGATTGTAGCATTCTGATATCAGGTCCAATTTTACAGGAGAAAGCACTAAGTTTAAATAGCAAGTTACCTGAAGGAAATCCCTCATTCATGGCTAGCCTAGGTTGGTTAAACAGATGGAAAACTCTTTGTGGTAAATGTCAACTTGTGTCTAGTGCAGGGGTGGCCAACAGTTTTTGCCCGAGCTGAACTGGAAAGAGAACTTTTTCCACAGGCCGAACTAGAGGCTGCCCTAGGAAGATTTTGAGGTGGTGCAAGATCTCATTGTGGTGTCACCCGTAGAGACTGAATTGTGGATAGAGATTACAGATAAATTTTTCACGTTATCATGCTTTATCAACATTCTACACTGTACTTAAGAGATTTGTAATGGAGGGTTAACTCTAACCAGACAGCGAGTTGTTGACCTTTTTTTTTATTTATTTATTTTTAGGCGTTAGAATTTTTCACTGATCTATTCGGACTTGAGTAGTTAATATTGAAAGATTAATCACGGACCATATGTTGGCCATGTCTGGTCTAGTGTGAGCCTTTCTGGTGATACTGAGCTTATAGGTAGTGAACATTTTTAAAAGGAGCTTAAGAAAGTAATTGAGTCTGAAAAGCTAAAGCCAGATTAATCCAGGAAGTGACCCTCACCTCCAAGAAGAAAGAATTAAAGAGATTAGAAAGTTTTAGAAGGGAGAAAGAACAAAGAACAGGAATAATGCAAGGACAAAACACAAAAACAGACATAGGCATACAGCCATAGTGAGAGCCAAAAGATGCATATTTTAAGTCACAATGGTGCTCAAAAATGCATTAATACACTTAGAATTACACTGCATCACTCAAAGCTGAAACAAAAGAAACTCACAGACTTCTTTTTTAATTAAAACTATTAGTAATCCATCAAAATTGATGGATTTATTCCATTAAAATACAATCAATTAGTGCATGAGTTCATTTTACTAATACAGTAGAACCTCGAAAACTTGGCCTAATGTGGACCGAAGGGTGGCCAAGTTTGTGAAAATGCCGGGTTATTGGGAATGGGGTTAAAAAAGGATAAGTATGCGTGTTTCCTCAGAAAATACTGTACTGTACTTGTATGTATTGTTTTGCTTGAGAATACAACAGAGAGTAAACTGCCCAAATATCCTTAAACAAAAGGAAAAGTACGTACTTTATTAAGGCATAGAGCCTTTACTACATGTAAATGAAAATTAATGAATACACTGTGTACAGTAATTTACCTGATAAGACAAACCTCAGAAAAATACTTTATGAGAGCTTTTATACTTTTATAAAGCTGTCTATAATGAAAATTAATTAACTAAGGATTTTTT